CCAAGAGCCCAGCCATTGGGCTAAGCCAGGCAGTCCAGTACCATGCCAAGCTTGGAGATGGAGGCCGAGCAGGAGTGTGTGGGGTGTGGTTACGGTGTGGTTGTGCTGTGTGCTGGTGTGTTGTGGGGGTGTGGGGGTGGCATGTTTCCATCACTCACAGCTCCACGTCACCCATCTTTCCATCCTTGTTCCAACAGTCTTCGCCATTCTTCATGCATCGTGTACGCGTCAAATGGCGACGCGATGCTCCCGGCTCACTCGGTACTATAGCCGATCCAACATAGCGTGGTGGGAGAGCAATGACATGTCAGTCTCAACCCCAACAGCCTCGTGGGAGGATGGACGGGACAAAGCGGAGCCAGAGGAGGGAGAGAGGACAGAGAAGAAGAAGGACGGAGAGACGAACAAAGAGGAGAAGAAGAAAGACGGGTGAGGAAACAGAGGCACAAGAACGAGAAGAGGGAAGAAGAGGATAACCGGGAATGAAGGGCAGCCGCGCTGGTGGGGGCCCCCCAAAAGAAGAAAGAAAAGCGGGAGGAGGGCCGAAATGTGGGGTTGTGACGTGGCCTGCAGCCTATGTGGGGTGGTACTTGCTGGTATCTTGTTTGGTGTTCTGGGTGCCCCCAGCCGCGGTCCTTTGTGCGCTGGCTGTGGGTGGCTGTGCGCTGATTTGTTGTCGGCTCTTGATGGCCCTTCAGTGTCGTGCCTGCTTCTGTCTTATCTTTTTCTGGGACGGGTTGGCTTCTTCACTGGCTTGCCCTGTGTCTGCCTTCTTGTCCTGTGGCCTCCAGCTGCTTTTGGTCGTTTTAGACGCGACGTGGACTTTACTATCTCCTTGTAACCTAAGATTGGTCGCGACAGCGGAAAATGATGTTTCCTGAGTCTATATATGCCTTCATTGTTAGTGACTGTCATTTTCTATAATACTGCTGTTGTGCAAATGAGTATGATGCCTTAGTGATTATCACTAGATATCATTAAGATTGGTGTGGAGCCCCTCTTTTTCCCCCCTCCCTAACATGAAGTCTGATATATTTTTTTATTTTATCTCAGCTGTTAGAATAGTTCTTCTGTCAACTCTGTTGATTGTGCCTTTTTGGTCTTATGCCCCTAAGGCCCTCTCTGCTGCTCACAATAGCTGTCTGTATCCTTCTCTTCCTATCCATGGGCCCTTGTTGTCGGCAGCACTGCAGCGGCCGGCTTGACCCATTGAAGGTGCCACTGTACTGGGTCTCTAGGCTGGCCTCCCAGCCCGGTGGCCAGGTTACTGGCGACTTGGACGCCGGATGCATCTGTTGCCGGTCACATCTCTGCTAAGCGCTTGCTACTCAGTTCTGGCTGCGAAAGAGAGTCATAAGACAACAAGCTTTCAAAACCCACCAATATTTTATGTATG